TAAATAGTGATGGGTACCTCGCGGAGTAATACGTACTGTGCTTCAACATAATATTAATGCGCCTCGGTTTACACGAGGCCATGGCGGAGCTACAACTTAACCCGCGCTCGCGCACACAAGCACTCAAGACTACCGGCCCCCTCCCCACAATGCTGAGCATTATGAAGGATACCTAAGTGCAATTTGACTCATGCAGATACAAAAAAATGTACTGTTCTTCTACAACACAATTACTGCTCCAAAGACAGCAACATTTTACCACAAATCGTGACTCATACTGGCCATGACTGCAGCCACACAGCCACACCCTTACTCCTTTGCCCGCCACACCCTTACTCCTTTGCCCAATCGCTCATCAGCCTAAGTAAGATGAACGTATGAAATTGCCACAAAACTCAAAGCTGTGTGGCGGTCTAATAATGCTGCTTCTGGGGGAGATCCCCTGTTTAGTAATGTAATGTATTTCTACAATGCCAATTCTGTTAATTGGCGAACTCGCTAGCTAGAAAACGTTAGCTAACATGTGCTCAGATACTGGCCATATTTATGCGACCACTGTACACGAACGCCAGCAACATCACTTTTTTTTTTTTAATTTTAAACACCAACTTAACAATGTCCATTTGAAAAGCATACTTACTCAGATATTTGTTCCAACGTTTCTGAAATCCTCGTACCCTCTGAGCTCAACTGGTTGCACCAACGGTCCGGTCTGCTTCAGCAAATGACGTGAGCTACTGAGCAAGTGCAATGCCTGTCCTATGGAAACTCAGACAAGCTAGGTCACATGACCACCAAGGGTGGAACTGAATGGATTCACTCAACACTGTTGTATTAAATCAAGTGGCTTTTGTGATTATAGCAAGTTTTCAGTTTTATGCTTAACCTACTAAAGTTTGAGAATATAATATGGCTGTCACAGGCACTTTTTTTCTTACAAGTTTACTGAATTACAACAGCCAGATGGTATATGTCGTTTTATTGTGTCCGTGTGTGCATGTGTGGTTACGTGCACATTTTTTCACGTGATTTAATTTCAGCCCACATGCCATATCGCAACCGAAACTGGCCCAAATCTGGCAACCTATACTGGGCCAGATCTGGCTCAGTGTTGGTGAGCCAATGCCGGAATTCAACCGAGTGTGCCGACACTTAGCCAGAATCGGCCCAGATCCGCTGGCTACCTGGGTATGGCCACGCTTTGGACACTTTTGTCACCGTACTTTCCCCTCATTATGTCAATAATTGAACTCTCCAGAGGATCCTCCTTACTCGTCTTGTTCCCCATTGTCCTAGATTGGGAGCCGTACACAACTATAATGTTCAGTACAAAACGGACGTCTCCGTCAGGGTTCAGTCACTTCTACCTTTCTTGTGACCAGAACAGGACCTCAGTGTCTTCGCCTTAAACTCTGAATTGAGAACACCTACCTCAGTGCCACTTTTAAGTGGCACCTATACTCAATATCACGGTTAAGTGACACCTACATTTAGTACTTTTAGATAAGTACCTATATCAGTATTCAAAAGAATACCTACATCACAAGACGAGGGATCATCAATTATTAACACAATAGAGGAATAGCTTTCCCGAATTTACTAATTTAACATTCTTCTCAATGTATTTAACCAATTTATTTAACACTCACCACAGAGAGTAATCTCTTTCCAAACGCTGGATACTTGGATCCCGTCAGTGATGATCCAGGGCGTCCTCTGACAGTCCCCAATCACTCAGAAATATGGATGAGGTTTGGGGCTGAGAAGGGATCCCATCCTCGTCGCCAAAATTGTTGTGGAAAAATATCTTTTAAAGCTCAGTGAGTGTAAAATAAATACTTAACGTAAGTTCTGAAAGTTATTACATATTTATTCCTGCAGGAAGGAGGTTCCTCTGATGCTCAAACAGATAAAGGAAACAGGATACAATTCACAACAGCATACCAGCCCTTTGGTCCCAGGTCACCTCTAGTTTGGCAACCACAATGACATACAAAGGTTTACAACCATGCAATAAACGGTCTGGAGTCACAACCATACAAATGACTGCATACAATGGCATGAAAGCCACAGCTAAAGAACTTAAAGGGTGCTATTATAAAAACTGCCACCACAGCTAGATCAGCTTGTAATCGAAACTCTGGAGGCAAGGAGTTCCAGAGCTTAGGGCCGTAAACAGCAAAAGACCGATCACGCCACATATTATAGCGATACCGTGGGATGACCAAAAGTAAATGTTCAGAAGAACGCAAAATCCTGGTTGTAGTATAAACAGTCACAAGATCAGAAAGGTAAGGGGGGAGAGACCATAAATAGATTTAAACACAAATAACAGTACCTTGAAATCAACCCTGAATTTTACAGGTAACCAGTGCAAAGAAAACAAAATGAGAGTAATGTGAGTGAATCTAGGGGTGTTTGACAAAAGACGAGCTGCAGCATTTTGGACTAATTGGAGCTTCCGCAGAAGAGACTGAGAAATTCCAATGTAAAGAGCATTGCAATAGTCAAGTCAAGAGGTGATAAATGTATGAATGGCCTTGTCTAAGTCTGTATGAGATAGGAAGGGCTTCACCTTAGCTAGAAATCTCAGATGGAAGAAACTTGCTTTGACTTGTTTGTCAAAATTAAGACGGTTATTGAATGTTACTCTGAGATTTTTCACTGTATCAGAAAATAAAGATATAGAAAGACCTAAATTTGAAGCTGGGGGCGGCCGAATCAGCGCTAAAGAGGATGTACTCCATTTTGCTCTCATTTAAGTGGAGAAAGTTTTGAGATAACCAGAGTTTAATATCTCGAATACAGTTGAGTAACGGAGTAAGAGCATTCACATCGCATTGTATTAATGGCATGTAGATCTGAAAATCATCAGGATAGAAGTGAAAATGGATATTATACTACGACATAATTGAACTAAGGGGGAACATGTATAAAGAAAAAAGAAGCGGGGCTAGAACCGAGCCTTGGGGGACGCCAGATGAGAGGGGAGCACCAAAAGAGGAAGAATCACCAACAGTGACAGTAAACAGCCTATTTGTCAGAAAAGAGGTGAACCAACTCAAAACTACCCCTTTTTAGCCTATATGGTGTTCCAACAAGAAGAGGAGGATTTTGTGGTCCACAGTGTCAAAGGCTGCAGATAAGTCTAAAAGAGCTAAGATAACGGAACGCTTACAATCGAGTGCCATAGTAATGTCATTATGGTTTCTCAGTAGCACAGATTCTGTACTATGACGAGGTTTAAAGCCCCATTGAAACTTATCAGCAATACCGAGTTTATTGCACCTGCAGCTGTGTGGAGACAATTTTCTCCAAAATTTTTGAGAGAAAAGGCAAGCGAGAGATTGGGTGGAAATTGGAAAACGCTGTGGGATCAAGATTTGGCTTCTTTAGGAGTGGAGTCACCATGGCGTGCTTAAGTGCAGTGGGGACTGTGCCTGAGCTGAGGGAGCAATTTATAAAAGTGACCAAAGAGGGAGAAATGGCATCAAAACATGAACTGCTTTAATTTGTGGCGTATTAATTAAGAGACCCAAAAGCATTTGGTGAGTGGGATGTGAAGGTTCTTTTCAATGATATTTGTATAGAAGTGAAGTGACAGGATAAAAACTGATTAGTGTAGTTTCACATCAAACCAACCCTGGCCAGCTCAGATACAGCAGCAAATTGATTTGATGATGCTTTATATGAGAAATGGGGCCCAGATACATGTTTTCAGTAACACTGTTCAGTGTTGAACAGATAACATGTTTTCAGTCACACTGTTCAACACTGAACAGTGTAGAAATTCCACAGAAATATAAATTTACATTTTTGGAATATCAACATAGAAAAGAAACTTATGAAAGTTGAATAACATCATTGATCACGGTAACATCTACTGAAACAAGAAGACAAAAGGCTCATCGAGTTGTGAGCTTAAGCAGAGACAAAACAGCCACAGTTCAGTAATGTAACTAAAACAAAAAGATGGAACTGAGTTCCACATAGTTGGAATAAAAGCAAATTATGCAATAACAGAATTAAATATGAATATAAATATGCACCACAATATGAAAGCAAAACCACAAGTAAAAAACAAAGACAAAGATATACATATGTGCAAGTTAAAAGAGCTACTGTAGCTAATGTACATGTGTACGCTGTTGCACCCTGAGGTGTACAGGTCCTCTATGGCACCGATGGTTCCTTCTGCAGTCCTGACTGTCCTCTGGAGTCTGTTCCTGTCCTGTTTGGTTGCCGAGCTGAACCAGACAGAGATGGAAGTGCCTGTATCCACAAAATGTGTGCAGTCAAAAAATTCCACCTTTACAACGGCACTGGTGGATGTCAGGCATGCTCACATTAACACGCAAATCCCTGCCCATTCAAGGAAATCCTTAAACTATCACGTAATACTTTTTGTTGGAAAAAAAAGTCTCGCGAGTGAGAGTTTGCAAGGCGTGTAGAAACTGAGTCGTTTTTGCACAGAAATACTAGAATATACATACACCTCATTTTTTGAGGTTTAAGTCATGTCTAAGATGATAATTAAAATCAAATCAAATTTTATTTGTATAGCGCCAAATCACAACAAAAGTCATCTCAGGACACTTTACAGAGTAAGGTCTAGACCTTACTGTTATCACTATTATTACAGAGGGAAAACCCAACAAATACCCCTTCACCATTGTAACATTGTAGATAAGTCTGAAAAAAAGGAAAAGCGCCATGGACTCTTTGAGGTCAAAAACAGGAGACTCCTCCTCATCTTCATCATCCTGTAGGATTCCTTGATAGACTTGGGAATAAATTTTCCCCTCCACAATGAGGAGGTGTCCACTACAGCACACCTAAAGTTTACCAAACAGCACCTAGACACTCCACAACACTTTTGGGAAGATGTTTTGTGGACTAATGAAACTAAGGTTAAATTGTTTGTAGGAAACCATAATGTAGGAAGGACATGTATTCCGTACATAATGTGTAAATAAGTGATTATCACCCTTTGTCCTCAGGTGGTGTTTAACATGAATAACGGGGCTGGTCGTGTGTCGGTGCGCTCAGTTGGTCAGATGTTGTGTGACAGACGGTGGCACTACCTCCACGCCAGAAAAACCAAACACACCCTGAGTCTGAGTGTAGATGGGCGGAGTTACACCACCCCAAACCCCTACCCACAGTCCACCTCTGCTGAGACCAACAACCCCGTTTACCTGGGAGGTTACCCAGGTGAGACAAACTCTGCTGTTTGCTCTAAACTTCAGGTGTGTCAATGACAGATGTTAACCCGTCTACCTGTCTCTCTTTCTGACCTGTGTCTCCAGCGGGTGTGAAACAGAACTGCCTGTCAATCAGCTCTAGGTTCAGAGGTTGTTTGAGGAACGTGCATCTCACTAAGTCTCACCTGAGCAATGCGCTTGACCCAAGCTCCGCCCACTTCCTGATGGGTGTCGTATCTAACTCCTGTCCTGTTTACTAGCAACTTGTAGGCTTGTTGTGATTGGTCCATTAACAGTAGGATTAAGTGGCAAAGTGATTATAATATTGATAACTCGTGGCTAATAACAGTTTTTTTTACATTTTAGCATCACTGTGATTTTTAATTCTCTTTATAGCTATGTTTCGTTTTTATATGAGTGATTAAAGATCATTTGAAAATGATTCATGACTGCTCAGGTTCATTCATTCAGTTTCATAATATCATAAAAAACATCAACATTTTTGAAGTGTGAGAGTGCAAACAGGTTGCAGAGTCACTTCTGCTGATTAAATGGTGATTGCCAATTGTTTGTGTCTTCTCTCATTGATAGCTAATATGATCATAAATTAGCACAAACACAGTAAACACAATATACAAATAATCAGTATAGAATGCATTAGTGTAACTTGGGCTTACGTAGGTGTATAGTGTCAGGGGAGATGCTTCTACCTGGAGAAGTTACTATGTCTGCATTATGCCAGTTAAAATATGGGGTATCTCAACTACCCGCTTTGTTTAGTGTCACATCTTTTTTCATCGGAACATATACTGCTGTTTACCTGTCTATGGAGGAGACATTCACATTAATAAATGTTGTTGTGGTTTGTCATGTTGTCCACTTGCAACACCACACTGACATCAGGAGTTGTGTGCGTTCACAAAGTATCTTCTTGTTTTTAGGAAGAGGCATTCTGTTAATATTCTGAAAAAGGCATCCACACTATGTTATGCAGTTTTTTATTGTGTGGATGCATAAGCATCCACACTATGTTATCCTGTTCTTTATTGTGTGGATGCGTATGCATTGCCCATCTGGTGCATGTTGGAAGTCAATCTAGAATCCTGGTCTCCATTTCTTGGTCCGTGGCATCAGATCTCAGATGATTCAGTCACACAGCAGCTGTAACACACACATATGCAATTTTACAAAAATAGGATGTAGGCAAAAATTCCAAATTGGACATCAAGACCTGTAGTGTAAAGCCAGCTTTGAATACACATTTACGTACTGAATTATCTGTTACTAAACAACGATGAATTCGTGGTACTGGTTCAACAGTACCGAAATACTCTTTAAACCAACAGCAAGTA